ACTGACACCACCACCCACTGAACATGACTTTTCATGACCTTAAGGCTGCGTCAGAATGCCACACCATAAGCTCAGCCCAATGTTGCATTTCTGCTTGGCAAGTACAGGGCAAAGAAAACTGGGCTTCAGTATTGATAGCAGGGCAGGGCTTTTTGGCTTTGTTTCTTTATTATTATAAAGAAAACCTTATAAAAATAATACATGTGGTCATCATAAAAGAAGTTAAAAAAAAAAACCCAAGACTATAGGAATCTCATCTTCAATCTAATTTGGCACTATTTTACTAAGGCTAAAACCACAATTCATGGTCTTGACAGCTTGCCTCATCCAAAAGGGAACAAAAAGGAGGAGGAAAAGAAAAGATGGAGAAAGACAGATGAATTTAAATTTCTTTGATCTAGGTCCTAACTCTAGGGGACTCAGATAAATCAGTGAGTCAGAGAAAGGGCAGTAAGATGTAAGCCAGAATACAGATGACAACAACTGTCTGCCTGCCTACATGTCTTCTGAGATCATCACCACAGTGTGAGATCATTAGCCAGGCCGGAGAAGACAGCAAGATGGAGGGAGGTCCAGCAGAGAATTACAGGCCTGTAGCACTCTGACCACCCTTCCCAGAGTGTGGATGGTGGTCATTCAGGTACTTGTTCTATCGCCATCTCTTTATGTAAGTTATTCTACCAATAGAAACCTGTAACGGAGGACCAGAGATTTAGCTCAGTGGCACCGTGCCTGCCTTACAAGTACAAGGTACTGAGTTCAATCCCTGCTACCACCAAAAACAAGAACCAAGATCTCTGGTCAAAAGTACAAATAGCCTCATACATTAGAGGTCTCTAATGATTTCTTTGTAAGTATGTTACAGCACAAAGAACCCTGACCTGGGGTAAGAAAATTACTCTCCTTCCATTCCTGCCACTAATTATGTGACTTCAGGAAATAAATTAACCTCAACGTACCAATTTCCTCATCTTAAAGGGGATTTCTTTTAAGCTTTAAAATCCCTTAAATATAAACAAAAGCATAAGTATTATTTTTACAAGTCCAAATTAGTATCTGGAGTATTTAGAGATCCAAAACAATAGGTAATTTTGATGGCTCTTAAGTTTTCATCAGCTCCATACTCCTCTGACCAATATGAAACTAAGCAGTTGTGGTGGGCAGGAGGCTTCCTTAAACAGTTAATGCATTACCAAGAGCTACAAAGGCTGTCTGTACAATCTGTCCTTTTGCCCTACCATTCTTCCTCCCATCTTATTTTTATTAATTACTGCCCCCCCACGACTCATACTATTTTTAAACACACAATTCAGAAGCAAAGTATGATGATCAAGGAACTAAAGGTTAAAGAAATTCAGGAATGTGGTACATATACATTAAGGGATAAGACAGTTAACAGATTGGGGAGACACTTCTTAAAATTATTAGTTAACAGAATACGTAATATACGTGGTGAGATATTCATAAGAGAGGGCCAGTGTGTGTGTGCATGCATAAGAGACAGACAAAAAACAAACTGACTTCCTAACTGCACCTCATTAAGATCAAGCATGTGTCTTGGGACCAAAGCATACCTAGGGCACTATCTCAATCTTTTTCTCTATGAGTGAAGTCTGTCCCACTACAGCAGAGGCAGAAATGGAGAAGACTGCACTGGCTGGACACATGTACAAGGCAGGTCCTGCCTGGTCAGGGCCTTACATACAGCTGTCAAGAGCTGAGCCCTAGCATTCCTCCATTCCAAAAGACAGCAGTCAATGCTGTGTCCCTGTATTCCCTTACACTTCATTTCAGAAAGTCTATCATGTCCATCTCAGTTCATTCCTTTTCTAACTGTAATGATGCAGGTAAGTCTCCATAGCAATGATAAAGGCTCTAAATGTGGCTCGGGAACACTTACATTCATCCAGCAATGTACATTATAGGCAGAAAGAGGGTACACAGCACATTCTGAGATAAAAAAACAATTTTAACTTTGAAAGCCATGCTTCAACAGCACATGCTTTGGATAAAGATTGCCTAAAATACAGGATGGTAGTTAGAGGATCCATTTCTTATTATTCTTTTTTTGCCAGTACTAGAGATTAAACCCAGGGCCTCACACATGGTAGGCAATCATTCTACTGTTGAGCTGCTAGAGGACTCATTTTTAAGAAAAAAATCTTAAAGACGTCTGTCTACATATTAGAGGAAATACTGCCAAACCAAATTTCATCATTCTTTCAAAAATTATTACTGAATGTCTACCAAGAACCAACATCAGGAGTAAATATATAGATAAACACTGTCCTTGGGAGGCTAATACTCTATTTATGAAGGCATGTAGAAATGAAGGTTAGTGTACACTGAGGTGGTACTACAACAGCAAAAGGAGGAAGGGTAGCCCTACTGAGACAGGCTTCATAGAAAGGCAATATCTAACTGGATCCAGAGCATCAGTAAGAGACCACGAGCAGTGGATGTGAAGGATGAAAATCTTTACAGATATACAAGACTATCTCAGCAAAATGTCCAACTTCCAAATACTGAATGAAAATGGTAAATAAGTATATCCTGGTACTTTACTGTCATGTCCAATTTCATAAAGTCTGATTTAGGATAAAAATCTTTCCATATTAATTTTGTTTAAAGGAGCTTAATTACTTAAAAAATATGAAATAGTTTACTCATGAAGGTATAGATACCCTATTGCTAGAAAATCTATGGTTCACCTAGATAAGGTCTTGATGTCTTGGCTTTCAGAAGAATCACTGGTTTTTAGTTTATTGGGGCTTCACAACAGATGCCTTTTTATTTCCTATCATAAATGACTACAGTGTACAACTATATGGCTGTCATACTACACTTACAATCAGGCTCATATATTTACAAAACCAAAACATTATTAAAGTTTTTGAATATTTAGGAATAAGTAACAGATAAACCAGTTTGTTATAGATTTTCCTCACTTAATGACCTGTTTAATGACTATTCAGACTTACAACTAAGGCATGCTGTTCAGACTTAGGACTCACCACCTGGACTTAAAACGTTTTCATCTTTTTGGTACAATTTTGTACACCTTGTTTATAGAGCCTCAATGCCTTTTTTTGATAGAGTACACCTTGTTATATAGTGCTGTAATTTTTTGCTGACTGTATAATATGATACAATTATTTTATGTTGTTATACATTACAGTACTGAAGTTACACAAACACTGTTAAAGCAAAGTCATTAAGTTGGATGTTTCTTTAACCATTTCTTTGCTCTGAATACTGTAACATGCATATTATATACAATTCCTCTTTTAGTGGCCAATTTACTTAACAGTCTATTCACAGGAACAGAACTTGGTTGTTACACAAGGAAGGCCTACACTTCTTCCTACAGTTTCTCTGTTTTTATGAACATAAGCAAAAGAAAGGTGGATACATGCTCTTCCTGGCAGCCCTTTAGTTCTACCTGTATTCAAAACCCTTGTCAAATTCATCTATACTTGTCTTACATGTTATTGTCCCTTAAAAGTTTTATGAAGTAGCTGGCCCAATAGATGAATAACTAGCCCTGCTCAATATATGTCCTGGGAAAAACAGCTCTTAGACAAGGCAACAAAATATTAAGTATATCCCTTTACCTTTTAAGGCTCAGAACACAAACTACCTTGGGGAAAAATAATCTTTTAACTTTGACTAGGAAGTTACTGGATTGAGATAATCTGTAAGTAACAAGGTGATCAAGCAGGGAAAGTTCAAATGCTAAAATCTACCCCTCAGGATAAAATATGCATTGCCCACTCATACCAGAGACCTGGAATACATACAGGGAAAAAAAATCCAAGTCAGTTTAACTGGGAGCTATTTCATCAAACACAGATGGGAAACATTCAGATAAGCATACTATGTTGCTTAGAATACAAAGCTCAACCGATCTGCGGGAGGAAAGGAAAAGGCAACCTAAAATATATAGCATATATGAACAAAAAAATTCAATTAATGACTCATTATAGTCATGCTTGCAAAACCAGAAAGTACAAAATGGTAGCAGTATCACCTTTCTGTCTGCCCCTTCCCTGTCCATAAGGCTTAACCTAACAGCATCTGATACTGTGCTCAACTGATGTATATCTGGGTCTGAAAACACACTACTTAAATGCTCCCTAAGGAGAAGAAAGAGACCTATCCTGCCAAAGATAGTATTTGCCAGACCAAAGGGAGTCTTATTCGCCTTTGAATGCGGCCTGTGGATAGGAAAGCGGTCCCAAATGCCATTTGTATAAATCTTTGGAGACATGTTCTGAAACAGGAAAACACTACAAGATTACATCTTAACAGAAGTCTAAAAATAAAAAAAGGGGAACATTCCCTATTTTTAGATATCTGACTTAAAGTTCAAAGACATTAAATGAAGGAAACCATTAAAAACTGGAATTTAAAAAATTTTAAGAGGCATTATTAAATTGGAAAACTATTTTTAGAGATAAAAAATTTTAAATTCTGCATTTTTTTCATTGACTATCTCCTTGCTAAAACTTCCCCATCTCCAAAATTTGTTCCCAATTCTATGTGTCAGCAAGAGCATTTACAGATGCCATATAAAAGATGACATATAAAGATTATAATACAAAAGAGAAAGAGCAGGTAAGGAAAAATTTAAAAGATGCTTTCACAAAGTCATAAAAATAGAGTACAGTGATTAAAGATAATGTATAAAACATCAAAAGCAATCTAACTTTCATTAAAAGCAGTTTCACAGACAGAATGATTAAAGAAGACAAACATTTTTCCTTTGCTCAATAGGTCTCCCCACTGGACAGTAAGAAGACCAGTTAGCTATATCTGAGTAACTACCACTTGCAATTAGAGAAAAAGTCTTTTTTAAACAATAAAAACCTAAAAATGCTGTACAATTTCTACACAACTTATGCTTTATCTTCCTATCTCTGTCCATTCCTAGTACACATATGCCCAACCTTGTTAAAGAAGTGTATAGCAAATGGGATTTGCAGGGGTAAGGGGATTACCTGACTGTACAGCCATCATTAACATCTCAGGTTCCAGCAGAGTCATGACAAAGTCCTCTTAGAAACAACAGCTGACAAATTCAACGGAGGAAGTCAAAGTCACAGAAAAAAAGATGTCTTCAGACACCACGGAAGGCATTCACAAATTCAATCTCATGCTTGTACTCAAACCAGACTGTAGAACTTGCTCCTGTTCTCAGAACAATCACCAACTGCCACCCTTCAGATGAGCCCGGGTGGCAGAGAGTTGAGTAACTGCCGACAGGAGACCAATGTGCTCCAGTAAAGACAAGAGTGTGGTTAAGACAGTGAGCAAGCTCCTCCCTTCTATGCGTCTCTAGCAGAAGGAGAAACACACAGAAAGACTTTCCGAAGAAAACAGACCAACTGCTTACCACCCCCTCCTTCTCATGAGGTTTTGTTCAAAACCATAATGTAAGACTCTGCTGCTAATACAGTTTAAGGGAACAGATTAAATACAATCCAAACAACTCAATGTCGTGAAATAAATAGTCTAATTACTGACCTATTAATGAGAGGTAGGGATAGGGTAGATGCATAAGACACATACAAATAAATGAATATGTAAGCTAAGTAAATTTTCTGAAAAAGAGTTCTAACAGCATTTTCATCTGTGATATTTATAGATAACAGGCTAAGGAAGTTGAATATTTAACTGCAGAAGCTCAACTATTTTTCCACCCCCACTCCAATTAAAATATCTGTTTCAAAAAGTCATCTGAATACATTCCAGAGCTGTAATCTGTTGTTCAGATCTGTCAGTCTCCTAAAAGAGCCCCTAACTTGTGCCCATGTGAGATATGCTATCTATAGACAGCTTACTCTTGTAGACTTCCTTAAACACTTTATGATCACCCTGGATGTACAGAGCACACAGGAAGACAGCTTTAATGTATAAGAATTTCCCTTTCCTGATAAATAAACCTTAATCCTTTTTCCACTAGGATAGAGTAGATCTGAATAAGAACAAACGTGCAGTTTACCTTGGGGGAGAGGGGGCTAAAATACTTTTAAATTATATTTATAGCAATTTTTTATTTACTCAAAATTAAAAGCTCATTCATTCCCTTTGCAATAGTAGTTGATATTTCTAATAATATATTAAGATGACTTTTTGCATATTTGATGGACTTTTAATGAGTTGAAAACTAGAAACCCATGTTTGGTTTGTTTATCTAGAATTCCTCAATTTTTCTGGTAAACTAATAGCCCATTATCTTGAAAGCCTACTGTTGCAACCTTAACCCAGCAAATATCTTAATGCTTAGTCAAAAAAGTGATAAATAAAAGCACTAGGAGATCTTAAAACAGTCTCACAATGAGTGAGGACAATATTCTTAGAAAAGAGAAAGCAGTGCCGATGAGGGGGAAGGGTCTGTAGAAGAGAAAATTTTCCTTTCTTTCTCACTCCAAGAACATCATGTTTAGAAGAGCTCTATATAGAACTGTGGGAATGACTCAACAGGCATCACAGTGGCAGCCAGTGTGGGCTGCAGGCTGCTCCAAGAGGCAGGAGCATTATCACTGGCCCCTTCTGGCAATTGAGCTCTCTGTCTTAGGGGAAAATGGGTTAAGACTCAACTCAGACTGCAATGGAGGCTGCTCAGAGGTTAGCAACTGAGGGAGACACATTCCCTAAAAAGTTGAGTCATTCCCCTGTCCCTCTGTGGGCTATAAAATTTGCTGTGTGTGAGTTTTTCAAATGAAGTAAGTTCTCACAGTTCTGTACCTAAAGGAAAATAAATACAAATTATAAGATTCCTGCACAGAGGATAGTAGGAAGGGCAGAGTGCTGTTTCCCGCCTGTCAAAACCCTTCTCTGCTGAGAAAAGTGTTTGTAATGCCACAAGTGTCTATATTCAGCCCTATAGGAGTGCTGACAATCATGCAGTGCAGTAACAATAAAACAGCACATTTTCAGTTGATTTCACTTTTTCACAGCAAGTCCACACCCATATGTCCTTTGGGATGAAGTTAAAGAAAAACTATTTTTAAAACATCTAAAAGTAATCTTAAAAGGAAATAAGCAACAATTATGCCTATTGCTCATAATTTATATTTACACTCAAAAGCATCAGCACAGCCAGAGATTCATCATGAAAACAAGTTTTAAAACAGGTTGCACAGTTCTAAAAGTCTTAACTCCTAAGGCTCAGAATAGTAGACACCTCAGTTCTACTGCTGTGCAAATTGGTAACATTTCATAAACAGAACTAAAGTAAAACTTTAACAAGGCCTCCACACAAATGAACATGGTTTTCAAGCTAACAGAACCAAGGAAATGAAGGGTAATGACCCTAATCTCCAGTTCAATAAAAGCTTTGCTTCTAATAACTTTCTACTATTCAGTGAAAATTTAGTATGATCAACAGTCTCTAATTCACTCTATAGAGATAGGATACTGCAGGATATCAAGACAGATTTCTAAACTTTTAACACTTATTAACATGCATTTTAAAAAATTTAAAATAATATAACTTTATATATAGCTTTCTTGCCCCACCCTCCCAGACTCCCCAAAGGATTCATAATCCAGAGGAACTAAACAAGTTTTTATACTAATCGACCTTCTTACTAAATGTTAGTTTCCATATTCTCCTTAAAACATCTCATTTCCTAGGAAAGGAAGAAGTTCAACAGTCATTATTTGCCGACAATATGATACTCTACATAGAAGACCCCAAAAACTCCTCCAAAAGACTTTTAGACTTAATTGACAGATTCAGTAGAGTAGCTGGATACAAGGTCAACAATGAAAAATCAATAGCCTTCTTGTACACAAATAAAAGACTCACCGAGAGAGAAATCAGGCAAACAATTCCTTTCACAAGAGCATCCCAAAAAAAGAAATATCTCAGAATCAATCTAACAAGGGAAGCAAAAGATCTCTCTACATTGAAAACTACAGCACTCTGAAAAAAAGAGATAAAAAAGTATATAAGAAAATGGAAAGACATCCCTTGCTTCTGGGTAGGAAGAATCAACATAGTGAAAATGGACATACTGCCAAAACTGCTACACAGATTCAGTGCAATACCAATTGAAATTCCAACAGTATATTTCACAGAAATAGAGAAAATAATCCAAAAATTCGTTTGGCACAAGAAGAGACTAAAATAGCAAAAGCAATTCTAGGCAACAGAGACATGGCAGCAGGTATCAAAATCCCCAACTTGAAACTATACTACAAAGCCGCTGTGATAAAAACAGCATGATAGTGGCAAAGAAAAAGACCCAAGGATCAGTGGAATAGACTGGAAGATACAGAAACAACTCCAGATGTACTCAGCTACTTCATCTTTGACAAAGGAGGCAACCATCCTCAGTGGAGAAAAGATAGCCTCTTTAATAAATTGTGTTGGAAAAACTAGATTTCAACCTGCCAAAGATGAAAACTAGACCCTTATCTTTCATCCGCACTAAACTAAAATCCAAGTGGATTAAAGATCTAAATATTAAAACAGAAACACTAATCTTTATGGAAGATAAGTTAGACAGAACTCTCAAAGACACTGGCACAGGAAAAAACTTTATGAACAAATCCTCAGTAGCATGGAAACTGGCACAAAGAATCAACAACTGGGATCTCATCTTATTAAAAAAAAACTTCTGCACTGTAAGAGAAACCACCAACAGAGCTAAGAGACAACCTTATTCTTTTTCTTTTTCTTTTTTTTTTTTTTTCCCTGGTACCAGGGATCAAACTCAGGTCCTTGTGCTTGCAAGGCAGGCAGAAGAACCACTGAGCTAAATCCCCGGCCCCTAACCTTATTCTATTATCTAGAATATATAAAGAACTCAAAAAAAATCAGTTCCCCCAAATATAAAGACCTGATTCAAAAATGGGCATCTGAAATGAAAAGACATTCCTCAAAGTAGTAAAACCAGCAAATAAATATATGAAAAAATGTTCAACATCATTCAAGAGATGCAGATGAAAACAATACTGAGAGTCTACCTCACCCCACAAAGAATGGCCGCTATCAAGAAATCAACCAAAAACAAATGTTGGCAGGGTTGTGGGGAGAAAGGAACCCTTCTCCATTGTTGGTAGGAGTGCAGACGAGTGCAACCACTGTGGAAATCAATATGGGCATGCCTCAAAGAACTAGGATTAGAGGTTCTGTTTGACCCAGCTATCCCTCTGCTGGGTATCTTTCCAAAAGAATAAAAAGAATCATATCACAGTGATATATGCACACCCATGTTTATAGCGGCACAGTTTATAATAGCTAAAACTTGGAAACAGCCCAATTGCCTATCAGTTATCTCAATAAAGATGTGGGTTTTTCTATAAAATGGAGTACTACTCAGCCATAAAGAATGAGGAACTAGAGTCATTCATAGGAAAATGGATGCATATTGAGGCCATGCTCCTAAGTGAAATAAATAAGTCACACATGTATGAATACTGAAAAGTTTCTCTGTTGTGAAAAACTAAAAGTGTATAACTGATAATGTGAACTAGGAAGAAAAGGGCTAAAGGTGTAGGGGAAGTGGGAAGGGTAGGGGAAAGGAAATAAGGAGAAAGAAAAAATATGAGAAAAGAAAAAATGGAAACAAAGTATTTGTAAATAGGGAAGGGAGGAGGGGGTGAAGGGAGGGCAGGGGTACGGGGGAAAATGAAAACCAAGATCTGTCATGTAAAGGTACAAGATCCCAATATGAATGTAACTGTACTGTATATTTAAGGAGTACCAATAAACTCAATGAAAAAAAAACAAAACTTCTCATGTCCTAGAATTTCATAAAAATCCTATTTTCCAAACCATTTAATCTTTCCTATTAGAATCCTAAATAGCTCCGCTTTCTATGCCCCTTACTTCCTTTATATCCTTTGCCTGGATAGTACCGCTGAGCAAAGACACACAGAAACCTTACCCTTAGCTCTTTTAGAAAAATACTTGGATCAGCAACAAGAGCTAGAACACTGAATTTTTTAAAAGGTAACATTTATAACAAGATTTAAATACATGAAACATCTAAAAGTAAAGGAGGGCCAGAGAAATAGCTCAGCAGCTCTGCTGCACTTGCCTAGCATGCACAGGGCCTAGGATTCAATGAATTAAATGGAACAAAAGAAGTGTAAGACCACTACACAAAAAAGTATAAATCCTTATTGGGTTTATGATCAGCCTGGGCAACATGGAACATGGCAAGATTCCACTAAAAAAAAAAACTTGCAGAATAAATATATGGGAGAAATTAGTATACAGATTTAAT